AAATCTTACCAGGGTCTATCCAGGGTTCAAGTCCTAGAGCGGCGCAAGTTTTGCAAGCACTGTGCCGAATCTGGTGGTTTCGAGAAGGGTCATGTCCGTGTTTCCACGCTGCTTGTTCTTCGTCAATGGGGAAAAATCACCACATTTGATTGCTAGTATAGCGTACTTTACTACCGCCCCTGGTGTTTACCTTCCCGCAGTTTGCTGTCTCAACGCAATAAGCGGCACCTTTGCGCTGTTGCGTTTCTTCTGCTATCCAATTTACTGTATTATCTGCTTTCTAAGTGGCGAGTGGTCGTTAAAGCGATGATAATGGACCTCGTAGAACTAAGACGTACCGCTCGTAAACAGAAGAACGTTTCCGTAGCCTACATAGGAGGACCTCGTTCGTGGCGATGGGTTTCTTCTGGGTGTCGAACCCGCCGATTAACACCTTCACTTGCTGATTCCTCGCTGGCTGACTCTAGCTTTTTAGGCAGGGAGGCAGAGGAAAAATACTCACGCTAATGACGTCGGCTCAATTGAGACTCGATCAGCGACGAAGGCAATAGTCCCGTTTAGCGAGGGTTGTTCCCCTTGATTTTTTCTGTACCTTTTAGCACCCCTAGTTCCATTTCTTACGACCGAACAATAAATAGAACCCTCTGTCTATGAACTGGGGCTTTCTTTCCGAAAAACTGTCTGCAGTATGTCTGAGTTCATTGAATCTAACCATAAGACACACAGTTGTGGCGAATGGTGCCGCCAGTGAAGCCTCATTTGTCATGTCACAATTTTTGCAGGGACTCCAAAAGATAATGGTGAAGTGTTTTCTGGAAGATTAATAAGGGTGATATTTTGACACAACAACGAGTGAAATGCATTTATTCAGAAGGAGCACTGTCTTCCATTATGACTTCGTAGAGTAAGCAGTCATCCCTATGGAGGCGGCTGAACGGTACCAAACCTCAGTTATCACATAGAATAATCACTGATTCTTTGATACCCTTCGACAGCATTTTTGAGGGTTACTTCTGTCAATACTAAGTCAAGTACCCGACAGGAGGCCCGTCGTGCGTCAAGAATGCGCAGATGCGCGGACGGGTCAGCGGCGGAATTACAGCGCGCACTTCAGTGATTCGCGTCAACAAAATGTACCATAGTACGTCCCACATCACACAGCACGCGCTGCGACTCGTCCGCTGACCCGTCTGCGTCTCTGTCTTCTCACCGCGCGACGGCCTCCTGTTGAGTACCCCCACTATATCAGGACAAACCGAGCAATAAATGAGCGTCGTGGAAATAATTACGCGAAACTTACATAGTAGTCCCGGCCTGGATAATATCGTGGCGGCCCGGCTAGTGCGAAGTAACCTCTATTCATTAGTGATCTCCTACAGACCATATTATGCTTCCCAGATGTAACGCAATTCGCTGGAAGTGCCAAATTCACAACGCAGTCACCATACTGGCAAGTCCTGCTCTGTAATACTCAATTTCGCTAAAACTGATTAGAAATATACGGAGGAGGATTCTCATAAAGAAATACTAGTGACTTCAACGAATGTGCAATAAAACGCAGACTAATCTCAAAAAATGTCCGCCTCGTGCAGAAAGGTCTCACTCTTCTAGTCTGGTCACGCGGCGTGGTTTCACATAGTTTTGAACCACAGAATTCAAGTTCATTGGTACAATGAATTGCCCGCATGAGGCAGGTGAACCCGCAAGTACAAAGGTGGTACCACTTTCGCTGAACGGAGTTAAAGGCAGGGTCAACCGTTACGTTGGACCGATATTGGAGCGACGTTGGACCGATGTTCACCGCTCTCCGCGCCGGCATTCACTCTCGCCACCCGCGAGCCGTCTGTGTCTCCGTGCGTACGTTCACTCTCGGCATTACTCTCGTCGTCGCGTTGGACTTTGTCCAACGGACGGTTGACCCTGCCTTTAACTCCGTTCAGCGAAAGTGGTACCACCTTTGTACTTGCGGGTTCACCTGCCTCATGCGGGCAATTCATTGTACCAATGAACTTGAATTCTGTGGTTCAAAACTATGTGAAACCACGCCGCGTGACCAGACTAGAAGAGTGAGACCTTTCTGCACGAGGCGGACATTTTTTGAGATTAGTCTGCGTTTTATTGCACATTCGTTGAAGTCACTAGTATTTCTTTATGAGAATCCTCCTCCGTATATTTCTAATCAGTTTTAGCGAAATTGAGTATTACAGAGCAGGACTTGCCAGTATGGTGACTGCGTTGTGAATTTGGCACTTCCAGCGAATTGCGTTACATCTGGGAAGCATAATATGGTCT